GGGTGGGGAGGGAGAGGCCATACTCTTGGGTTGACTGATCCATCCCAAGCCATTGGATTTGCAGTCATGGATTCCAACCCAGCACCAATCCCTAAGTAAAAAAATATATATAAATTTTTGGATCAAATAGTAAAGACCGGCTGAGTAGCCATGGTTGCAGAGCTATAACCAATATAACATCATCAGAAAATAGATGGGTCATTACCAATGTCATAAAATCCAGCTTTGATAGCCGCAGCGACATCAGAAACTGCTTGAAGGCCAGACGAACATTGCCTATTCACAGTTCTCACTGGTACAGTTTCTAAGCAACACAGATACCAACAAATGAGGGATAATTTCTCTAATACAACACTCCCTTTTAGATGTGTTGCTAATTCAAGAAATATCAAACGTGCATAAAAATAAATGTACCAGGAAAACCAGCATAGAATGCAGCCATCCTGCATTCACTTGCTCTCTGGGAGCCTGGCGCCAATACTGTGCCCACCACAATGTCCCCAACTTCAGCTGGGTTCAAATTTGTTTTCTCTATCAGGGCCTGTACCAAACTATCTCAATGAGAATGAAATATCTAAAACTCCATTAATCGCAGCTTCAAACTTCAGTCAAATAAAAATTAAGATGGAATGCAAGAAAAACAAACCCTCAAAACTGGAGCGAGTAAATCATCGGGATAGGTATCCTTGAAGCCACCCCTCTTAGACTTGCAAAGTGCAGTCCGATATGCACTGTACAATATGAAAAGCATTACCATTGCAAAAGGCCCATCAAAATAGTTCAGCAGATTATAGAACCTGAAGTTTGAAAAATATATTTGAACAACAGATAACTTACGCTACAATGACCACATCATCCCCAAACAGAGAACTTCTGTGATAAGCGGCACTATCACCAGCTGAACAGACAGATGCCTGACAGTGAAGATTTTATAACAAGACACAATTCCGTATAAGCACAATGGCATATGGATGCATGTTCTTTTTTATGTGCATGATATTGCTTACCCCAAAAATGAATTTACATGTGCATGTATACGTTCACCATTGAATATTGATTCAGAATGCCAGAACTAATTACTTTGGTGGAGTAATAAACTGAGCAAAGTGAAATTTTGTGTAACCAAAACATGACCTGTGCTTATACAAGCAGAAGTAGCAACAGGGTTAGAAACAAGCAGAAGTAGCGACAACAGTGTCTCAAGACAATGCCAGTGGACGTGTTATCATCATTCCATGCCTTTAGACCCTCTTTTATTCAATGGAAATAACTCTGGGCTAGCTTTTAAGGTCAGANCGACAGGGTTAGAAACAAGCAGAAGTAGCGACAACAGTGTCTCAAGACAATGCCAGTGGACGTGTTATCATCATTCCATGGCTTTAGACCCTCTTTTATTCAATGGAAATAACTCTGGGCTAGCTTTTAAGGTCAGAAGCGAAATCCCCAAGTAAACACAAAAGCAAATCTCTGTCTCCTGAGCTAAATTTTATTTCATTCCTCAAAGAAAAATTCTCCATGAGATTTAATTTCCAACAAAATAAACATATCAATATACAGTAAATCAAAACATCTGAAAGTAACAAATTTACGGCTACAGACTAGATAAAAAAATAGCAGTCCTAGAAAATTGCCTCCCGTAAACAATATGTCATTGAAGTTTGAANCATGAGATTTAGTTTCCAACAAAATAAACATATCAATATACAGTAAATCAAAACATCTGAAAGTAACAAATTTACGGCTACAGACTAGATAAAAAAATAGCAGTCCTAGAAAATTGCCTCCCGTAAACAATATGTCATTGAAGTTTGAAATAAACACTGCACACGAATGAACTATGAACCCTAAATCCAGAAAATTAACAACAAAATAGGAAAATTAACCAAATTCAATCAAGTCCGAACAATAATTTCAAACACGATTCAGCTAAAATACATAAAAATAAAATAAGAACTCAACATTGATACCAGCTCCAAAATTCAGTAATAAAAATCGAATCACGAGAACTGAAAGTCTGAAGAGCAAATTAAACTTACAGAGAGAGGAGAATCGATGTTCTCGAGCGAAGAATAAGTGGAAGAAGGACGTAGATGTTGGAGCAGCACTCTCTGTCTCTCAATTGCTCTCTCCATTTCTATCTCCAAACTTTCTCTCTTCAAAACTATGTGGGTATGTATTGGAGGAACCGGAGGGGGTGAAATTTAGGACTTGCTATATATAGATATATATATATAGAGATATAAATGTCTTTGTGAGTGTACGTGTCGGTGTATATATGGCCTTGGAATTGGTGAAATGTGAGAATTAAAAAGATTTTTATCCGGAAGAAGGATGGTACCAAGATGGATTTTGATCAAAGGGCCCTTATCCACCCTCATTTTTATGTGCGTGAATCGCACTCGAGCACATTCTACGCGGAAGTGCCTTGTTATGCGATTTGTGACCATTGTGCATTTTTCATCTTTCGGGAGAATTCTTTGTTGTTTGGTAAGCGAAATAAAAAGTTGGAATAATTGACTTTTTTGTATTTGATAAGATGAAAAAAATATATTTTTTTATTTTTTATTAATATATATATATATATACATAATTTTTTTAAAAATATTTTTTAGGAGGGGAAGGGGAGGGAGAGGAGGAAGGGGGTGTATATATAAAATAATATATAGACAAATAGTATACCTTTTAATACACGTTATTAATTTTTTATTCACTTTTTCATTATATTTATTTCATTTCTTATCAAATATGACGTTTTATCTATTTTTTTAACTTTTTGTTATTCCAACTTTCATCATTCCATTTTTCCAGCATATCAAACGAAGCATTAGACTTTAAAATTATATGTTTAATTGATATAATTAGAGAGTTCA